ATTGGAAGTAGGTATAAATTGTTTCATTGGAAAAGGCACCCTTTGAAGTTGCTTTCATGTACATTTTGTTATTTGATTAGGGGTTAGCAGGATAGTTCTCTGCTTCCTCAATAGCGCCTTCTTGGTGCTATATTTCTTTGGAAACAATTTCTTAAAGACAGTTGGAATTTTGCTGAGACTTGAAATGCCAGCATACTTTGTATGTTCTTTATCTTTTCATTTCCATAGTTCTCACTCTAGTTTGGACACTTTTTATTTGGATTGCTGTAGCAGTCTCCATCTGGTCTCTTAAAACAAAGAAGTTTAAGGACCACCTTGCCATACGCTATATAAAGCATGTTACTCTGTGTAATTCTTACATCTTCCATATAAGGTACAAATATTATCGTTGTTTTATGGGATGAAAAGTCTGTATTCCTCGTTGTCTGACATCATTTTTTATCGTATCATTCTCTTAACTCATGGCCATCTTTTTCTAATGTGTTAAAGGCAAATTCTTCCAGACCCTTGGAATTCAAGTCATCTGTCTGCTTTCTATGAGTCTATCCTCATCTTCTAGATTTGGGCCGTAGCCTTTCTGACTCAGCCTTTTTCGTGTCATCCTTTGAATGTGACTTGTACCCTCCCCCATTTAGGAGTATTTTCCTTCCTTTCCATTCTTACATGTCTGTTATTTCAAAACCTCTAGGAATCTTTTCCAAAGAAATCCTTCCTGACCTTGATCATTGTTTTGCCTTTTTGAGCTTTGTTGTCCTGTGTTAGACTCTTTCTGGGACGAGGAATAAAAACCTATTGAGATGATGTCAGTTAACAGGAGTTTATTGTAAGAAATGGCCTCAGTGGCTGAAAGTGGCTATGGCAGTTTCCCCACTATCATTCTGGACACATAGGAGCTCAGGTTTTGTGGCTGCAGTTCTGATAGACCAGCAGATTAATTGGGTTATCTTTGTCATCTTTCTGCTTGGCAGCCTCTCTGTAAACTGCCATTCTAAGATTCAGCCCATCTTGGCCTCTGCTTTTGTGAACTGTGTTTCCCATGGCCATCTGTGGATAGAGAAGCCCTCAGAAGTGGGCATCTTGCATGCTTCATCCTTTGGGATCTCCTTGGAACTCAGTCCTTTTGAGACTTGGCATTTTTCATTTGTTCATATATCATTTTTCATTCACCTCTTTGGAATCAAACTCATGTTCTTTTTACTTTCTCATTTCTACTTTGGGCTTCTTGAGGGCAACTGCTATATATTTTGTTTTATATCCCTTACAACAGTTAATGGTACATTTAGTTCAGTAACGTTTCAATGACTTACTGACTTAATAGACTCTCTCAGAGTAGAATTTTTTTTTTCCAGTCATAGTTTTGGTTTAGTATTAAATACTGCTACTGACATGGAAACTCCTACACATTTGCAAGATGGTTAAGGCTCAAAGATCCAGCAAGATGTTGAGTGTGGGTAGGTGTTAGTAGTAGAGGGAAGATGGCAACAGAGTTGACAGTCTGGATTCCAGCCCCAGCTCTGCTACTCTTAAATGTGTGGCCTTGCCATATATTTTACCTATGTAGACTTCAGATTCCTGAGCTATAAAATAGAGATACTAATGGAACCTCAGAGGCTGGTGAGGATTAAAAATGATCATGTGTGACTTGTTAAGCGTAGTGTCTGGCACATAATAA